TTTTTTTTTTTGCTCTTTTGTGTGTTTTTTTTTTTTTTTTTTTTTTGAGACAAAGTATCACTATGTAGTTCAGGCTGGCATTGAACTCACCATAGCCCAGGCTGGCCTCAAATTCACAGTGATCCTCCTGCTGATCTCCCTGCCTCAGCCTCCTGAGTGCTGGTATTATAGGCATGCACCTCCACATCCAGCATGTTTCTTAATCCTTGTGACATCTAGTGGTAGATGATAAGAGGTGATAGTAGCATTGTCACCTTTTAAATTTTTATTTTATTTTTTTGTGGAACTGGGGATCAAACTCAGGATTTTGTGCTTGCCATGCAGGCACAATGCCACTGAGCTAAATCCCCGGCTATTGTCACCATTTTACTCATGAGGACATCAAGACTCACAGAAATATACAGACTGACTCCAAGGTTCCACAGGGAACTGGTGGCAGGGCTAGGATTTCAAACACCAGCTCTTAAGACACCATACAGCCTAATTACTTCTCCAAGGGGCATAATCTTCAGATTCAGACCTAAAACAGAAGAGACCAGGTACATTAGGCTGTATGCTTGCTGGGCATTTCCTGACCTTTTGGTCCTACTTCTGGCAGGCACACAGCAAGGCTGGTGGGCCCTGCTCCTTTCACCAGGGTGGTCCTACTGCCTCCCCAGTGTAGGGGTCTCCTCTCAGGCCTCCCCAGTGTAGGGGTCTCAGAGCAGTCTCAGTATTATACCTATCATTCATCTGTCCAACACGTTCCTCTCACAGATAGCCACTCCCTCATCCCCTTCATATTTGGACTCAGGCACTGCTCCCTGGCTGATGCATCTCCATTGGTCCATAGCATGATGAACAAAATTGAACTTCTGTATCTCTTGGAGAAGAGCATCTCTTCCTTTGGGCAGACATAGCACCAAGAACCGGCCTGCAGAGTGGGCAGAATTTCATAACCCACTCACTTCTCAGCTGGGTACAGAGCACAAGCAGTACATAGAGATCCTGTTTTAATGTCACCACAGTAAGGTAGCTATCGTGTCTGAAGATGCAAACTGCCCACCTCTATGCAACCACTCTCATCTTGCCCTCCCTTCTCTGCTTTTCCCTCCTTAGCACTTACTACTCTATGACATACTAGGTGTTTGGCTTATTTCCCTTGTTTACTTTCTTTCCCCACTTCCAAGATGTAAGCTCCATCAAGACAGGGATTTCTGTTTTGTCCAGAAATAATACTTGACACACGACAGACATTCAAAAAGTGTCTGCTGAATGAATAAAGTGGGCGATTCCCCCAAGGTCGCTAAGGAAAGACAGGAGAGCCAGGAAAGAAGAGGTTTAGAAACTCCCGTTAGGGGCTAGAAGTCAAGCTACTCAGTTGGAGGGTAGTGGAGGCATAGGGTGTCTCACGGCATTTTCCCTCCTTTCTCATTTGTTTGTTTTGGTTTACTTCTCCTTTTCCCACTATGCCTTCTTATTGTTACCCAGCCACTGGAGCAGAGACTGGACTGGGGCAGCAGAGACGTGTGGGGGTTCTCTCCTCCAAGATGAGTGGGCAGGTGGCTGCTGGCTAACCTTTTTATTTTTTATTTTGAGACAGGGTCTCACTATGTAGTTGAGACTGACCTGGAACTCACTTTGTAGCCCAGGCTGGTCTTGAACACACAACGATCCTCCTGCCTCAGCCTCCTGAGTGCTGGGATTACAGGCGTGCGCCACCATGCCCAGCTTTAACCTCTTCTGTGGTTGCTCTTTAGGCTGGGAGCTGCCTCACTGCTCAGGCCTCTGGGCCTCCCCAGAATGGGCCCCTCCTGAGGTCCTTCAAGACACTGAGAGACACCAAAAGAGAGTTAGAACTATGTTTAACTTGGAGCAGCTGGAAGAGTTGGAGAAAGTGTTTGCAAAACAGCACAATCTGGTGGGAAAGAAGAGAGCCCAGCTGGCAGCCCGGCTCCACCTTACAGAGAACCAGGTGGGAGTGGGGACAGCTGTGGGGCTGGGCTGAGCCTGGGGACAGACGCCTCTGGAAAGCCTTAAGTGGAGGCTGGGAGGGAGACACTGGCCTTCTTCCCGTGTGCCAGCTTTTTAGGAGACAGGCCCTAATTTTTTGTATACTCCTTGGGTAATGAGACAGATAGGCCATTTGAAGTGACATAATTGGGAATAATATGCAATAGTCACCTAAAATTTTATTATAAATTATTTTCATGCTAAATATGGAGCAAAATAAAGTAGGCATTCAAGAAACTTAAAAAGAACTACTCTCTTACCCCCCCACACACAAACTCACTATCTAGACTGGGCTATTCTCCAGCTATTGTGTCATTTCTCTGCTACAGGCAAATTTCTGAGGAATTTTCTATATTCACTCCCTCCATGTCCTCACCTCCCATTCATTCCTTCACTTATTCCAGTAGACCATTTCCCTCGAATTCCATCAAAATTTCTCAGTAAGGTCTCCAGGACCTTCATGTTGCCAAGGCTAACGAATGCTTTCCTTTCCTCAACTACATCACCCACAGCAGCTCCTACTACAGCTGACCCTTCTGGAAACACATTCTCCTCTTGGCTTCCAGACACCACATTTGCTGGGTTTTTCCTCCCAGCTTTTTGGCACTTCTGACTCTTTTACAGGCTTCTCTCCTTTGGGATGTCAAACTTCAACTGGTCTGTCTATTCCTTCTCTAAGCCCAGCCTTCTCAGCTGATGTAAATCTAAGGCCTTTAAACTGAGATACACCCACCCCTTTTTTATTTTGAGACATGGTATTACTAAAATTGTCCAAACTGGGCTTGAACTTGAACTCCTCCATGCTTCAATCTCCTGGAGTGCTGGGATTATAGGGATGCACCACCACCCCTGGTTCATATGGCTCGTATGTTGCCAATCTCAGTCCACTTAACTGTGAGTTCCATGAGGGCAGGGATTGCGCCTCAGATGCTCACCACTGTATCACCACCACCTAGAATGGTGTCCAGTACATCGAAGAAGCCTATGAAGGAAACACTGTGGTGGATGAATGGTGATTGGGATTATAGGATGGGGCCTTTTGGAGGGGTCCTTCCTATAACAGGAAGAGTAGTTTGGCTAGACAGCAAGGGGTAACCACTCTGGGTCTGGGGGAGTAGTGGGACTTGCTGGTCACATTCTGATGTCTGCCCCACTTTTCCTGGTGATAGGTGAGGATCTGGTTCCAAAACCGCAGGGTCAAGTATCAGAAGCAGCAAAAGCTGAAACTGCCAGCCCTGTCTGCTGTAGCTGCCTCCCCAGATGAGCCCTCCAGCAGCTCTGACAGCAGCATCCAGAGTGAAGATGCCCAGACAGGAGCTGACAGCTGAGGACTGGGACGGAAATGATCTGGGCTAGTTCTTCCTGGTGGCACCCATTGGACTTACCTGCCCTGCATCTCAATGAAGAGCCTCCTCAGGTCAGAGGGCACCAGAGGAGTTTGAACTTCAAGCAGGGCTCCCTTTTCTGTATCAGCCTGGAAGAAGGAATAACGTAATGGTCAGAGGCACAGACTGGCTGTCAGCTATGTCCTTGGCCAACTTACTGAACTTCTGAGCCATTTTCCTTCATTTGTGTAAAGGGTGTATTGATAACTTACATTTCTCAGAGGCAACATGATGTCTACAAAGCACTCACAATGTGTGCAGTAACTGTTAAAGCTTTTAGGGTCCCTCATTTGAGGGAGTGGTACAGACACCAGCCTTGGCTTCCCAGGGATTAATCAATCTTTCCCTGGCTTTTTATGGAGAAGAAAGGGCCTCAATGAATCAGCGCCTAGGTGTAGAAGAATCTTCTTCACCAGAGATGGTGAAGTTGAGAGCAAAGAAGAAGGGCAGACATCTTAGCCTGCTTCTCCTCACAGTTGTCCAGTTTTCTCGATTTGTCTGAACTGTTACCACTCTCAGGAGCTCAGTTCCAACTGCCTCCTTGTGCAACATGCTGCATTTTCTCTCCAGCTACCTGCCTCAACTTCCTCATCTTTATCTAGAATAGAGAAATTTGAGTCCATTTGACATTGCTGTATTTTCACAAAATAGTTATGTCGCCTCCATGCCACCCCCCACCCCCTACAGAATCCTGACTAGTGGCTGCCTTGCCTTCCCAGAAATCTGCTCCATTTCTCTCTAGGGAGCTTGCTGATAGCCTGCTGTGGTGAAGCCAACAACCTTCATTTTGTTTGTTTGTTTTGTTTTTGTTATTTGAGACAGGGTCTCACTATGTAGTTGAGACTGACCTGGAACTCACTGCATAGCCCAGGCTGCTCTCGAACTGAGTAATCCTCCTGCCTCAGCCTCCTGAGTTCTGGGATTACAGATGTGCACCACCATGCCCAGCACAACCTTCATTTTTAGAGCTAATATTTAGACTACTCATTCTACAATGGCTGGGAGGGGGGAATGAGGGGGATGGAGGTGGGGTGGAAGGAGGCCTGCCCTGCCTCCTGGTCCCTGGCTGCTCTCAGGGCAGCTTTCTGAAGGAGGGGGAGGAAAGGCAGGGAGTCAAGGAGGCCTTGGAAAACAATCTGCACCCAAGGGGATGGACTCCTAGATACTGTGTAGCAGGCTTGAGGGGAGCCAGCATCCAGCCTCAAGAATGCTTCTCTGTCCCTGTGTTCAGGAAAGTCCTTCCTAAGGCAGGACTCAAAGTCAATTCTATTAATCAAAGGAATCCAGCTGCATCTGCCTGTTACAGAAAAAACTGGTATTTTATTTTATTTTTGGGTACTGGGAATTGAACTAAGAGTCTTTACACTGAACTACATATTCAACTCTTTTTAATTATTTTATTTTGTTTTTTAAATTTTGAGACAGGGCCTTACTAAGTCACTAAGTTGTTCAGGCCAGGCATGAATTTAGGATCCTCCTGTCTGGAGTTTCCAGAGTGTTGGGATTTCAGGCATATGCCACCACACCTGTCACTTTTTGTTTTTAACCAATACATCAGTGCTCCACTTCTGCAGCACTTATACTAAATGGGTCAGTTACCTACTAAACAATTACTACCCAACCCCCAAATGTCACGACAAGACCACAGCAGGTGCAGACACAGGTTCATTTTCTTTTCTTTTTCTTTTTGTTTTTTGAGACAGAATCTATCACTATGTAGTTGAGACTGACCTGGAACTCACTATGTAGCCCAGGCTGGTCTCAAACTCACAGCAATCCTCCTGCCTCAGCCTCCTGAGTACTGGGATTATAGGCATGTGCCACCACACCCGGCCACAGATTCCTTTTCGAAGAACATAGAATCAAATGAGGAGCAAGGAAAGTAAAGTATGGTAGTCAGGCCTAGCTGTGGGAACAAGTGCTATAGGCCAGTGGTTGGCAGCTTTTGGGGTCCTGAATGAGAGGACACACCTTTCTTTGGTTCTCAGAATGATTCATGTGTACACTCACTTCTGCATCGTTTAAGGGGTCCTTAGACCTGACTCAGATCGACTCTGAACTTTTCCATCACTCTGGGCTACAAAGGTCTCCAAATCCCTGGAGAATCTGAGACACACACCTGTTGAGCTTGATCTTTGCTAAGACAGTCTGTCCCACAGCAGAGGATTTATAGAGAAAGGAAATCATGCACCAGACTTTAAAGGATGAGTGTGCCCCAGGGTATAAACTATTCCCACCATTTAGTATTAGAGAGGGGACAGAAATAACCGCCTTCCGCTATACTCTCTGCTGGGTCCAAAAAATGCTTTCCTCAATTAGCAAGCCATTGTTGGACAGAGGCACAGTAGACACAAACGTGAATTCGGACTCAAATACATCCAAACTACACATACATAGAATCTGATACCGGCCAAGCAGGCAGACAGCCACAAAACTGCACAGATGTGAGAGTACAAAGGCAAACCCAGCTATACACCTAGTCAATGAACCAAGGAACCGAAAAATCGAACTCGCCTGAGGGCAAACCCCCAACGCAGTGCTACCACTCAGCAATGGGCGGAGCTTCAGGAGCGGAGCTTCCCGGGTCAGGCGGGTCAAAGGTCAGAAAGCGGAGGCGTGCCCAAGATGGCGGCCTCCATGTGCGAAGTGTTCTCCTTCTGCGTGGGCGTGGCGGGTTCGGCCCGGGTTGCAGTAGAAGTCCGATTTGTGAGCAGCGCAAAGGTGAGGCCAGGGTGCACCCCATCCGGAGCCCGCACCCCATAAGACCTTGGAGATAAACCCAGAGATCCATGCCTAGAGGCTATTGTACCGCTTGGCCCGGCCCCTGATCGCAATGCGGGGTTCCCTGTCTGTCTCGGTGCTCAGGCTTCTGGAGCGGTCACGCGGCGGATCTGGGTCTCCAAGATTCTCAGTGCGCAGCCCTTTCCAGTGGAACCTGGTCCGCCCACGGCCTGCTGTGGCTGCTTTAGGAGGAGCTGGGGGCTCTGGGCCTCCTGCGCCAGGCTGAAGGCGTTGCTGCCGGGACCTGGGAGCGGTTGACGGGGACGTACAGAGCAGAGGGAACTCCGTCATAAAAAACCGTTGGTCCTCAGGAGCCTTTTCGTGTGAGATACGGGTGGTAGAATGCGGAGAGACCAGGACCATGTGAAGGGTCTTGAAGCGCTAAAGAACTTGGGCGAGAACCCAAATGAATATTCGTTTTTATTATTATGTTTTAGAAGTTCATTGTAGAAGAAAATATAAAATGTATCAAAGGAAACAAGATAAAATAACTCAGTCTTGTGTGCAAATGTGTATGTATATTAAGTCAGATTTTTAGAAACTGCTTTTTGGATGCAACAATGGCTATATCAATAAACTTATTTCATTCTCAATAAACCTATTAAAAACAATTTCATAATCAAGTAATAAGATAATAACAATAGTTATTAACCTGTGTAATATTATCTTCAAAGTAATTGCTCAGAGTAAAGACAGTATGTGAAGGCGATCTGGCTGCAACATCTGTCATCCCATTGATTACCAGAGTTGATTCGAAATGGCTGGTTAGGCCCGGTGTCCTCTTCATCCCTCGATGCTCCATGTGCATCTCTCCCGAAGTAGCTCATTGGTTGGGTCAAAGAGGATGACCACCCCCGTTTCCTTGGTCAAGGGTATATGATTAGCTGTGCTTCCGTGCGAGAACCTCCAAACAAGCTCCCAAGAGTAAGACGTAAGCCAAAAAAGATTCGTACAAAAAAGAAACAGATAATAGCAAAATTTTCTTTTTAATGAACTAAGATAAACTAATGTAAATGAAACAAATTAGCAAAAATGTTGAAATATTTTTCGAGGATGGAATTTGTAATTTGGGCAAGTATTTGAACTTCCTGCTTCTTGTTTATCTTCTATTTTGCATCCTCTCTGTTTCTGTATGTATATATACATGCACACACAAATAACTGGGATTGTATTGTATATATAGTGTTCCTCATATAAGAGAAACCATGTGATATTTGAGCTTCTGTGTCTGACTTATTTTGCTTAGCATTATGTTCTCAAATTGCACCCATTACCTACAAATGCCTTGTTTATCTTTCTTTATGTCAGTGTAGTACTCTTGTGTATAAATACCACATTTTTATTCATTCATCAGCTGATGGACGTACGTACTGTTTCAAAGATCTATTATAAATTGTGCTGCCATAAACAAAGGTATGCATGAATCCCTGTAATACGATTTTTCACTCTTTTGGGAAGGAACCTGGAATGGGGATAGCAGGATAAAGTGAAATTTCTATTTTCAGTTTGTTTTTTTTTTTTCAGCTTTAATTGAATTTATTGGTACATTTTAGGGATACAGTACAGTTACGTTCATTGTTGGGATCTTGTACCTCTACATGACAAGTCTTGATTCTCATTTTTTCCCCTTACCCCTGCCCTCCCTTCACCCCCTCCTCCCCTCCCATATTTTCAGTTTTTTGAGGCATCTCCACGATGAGTTCCATAGTGGTTTTACTAGTTTACATTCCCACCAGCAATGTAGAAGTATTCCTTTTGCCCTACATCCTGGCCAGCATTTGTTATTATTATTAGATTATTTGATGATAGTCATTCTTTCTGGGGTAAGATGGTATCTCAGTTTTAATTTGCATTTCTCTGATGACCAGTGATAATGAGCATTTTTTTCATGTATTATTTATTTCATGTATTATTTTCATGTATTTATTAGCCAATTGTACTTCTTTAAGAAGTGTGTATTCATTTTGGTTGCCCAGTTTTTTTTTATTTTTTTAGACAGGGTCTCACTATGTAGTTGAGACTGACCTGGAACTCACTATGTAGCCCAGGCTGGTCTCGAACTCACAGTGATCCTTCTGCCTCAGCTTCCCAAGTGCTGGGATTACAGGTGTGTGCCACCAAGCCCAGCCTGGTTGCCCAATTTTTTGGATTAGGTCTTTTTGGGGATCTAATTTTTTTTAGTTCTTTATATGTTTTTGTTTTTTTGAGACAAAGTCTCCCTGTGTAGTTCAGGCTGGCCTTGAACTATGTGTCCTAGGCTGTCCTCAATCTCTTGGCAAGACCTTGTGCTTGAGAGGCAGGCAGCAGAATCGCTGAGCTAAATCTTGGCCCTACATTTTAATTTAAAAATAGTGTAGGTAGTTCTTTTTTATTATTTTAAATTGAATTTATTGGTACATTCTAGGTAGAAAGTACATTCTACTGTACATTCATTACTGGGATCTTGTACCTTTACATGCCAGGTCTTGGTTCTCATTTTTTCCCCTTGTCCCCACCCTCCCTTCACCCCCTCCTCCCTTCCCCACCTTCAAACACTTTAATTCCATTTTTACATTTTCTCATATTTTTTTTCCTTTTCCCTTGTTCCCCTTTCCCTATCCTTCTCACTGTCCCTACACCTTTGGTTCTGTTCTTCCTATTTCACATTGCTAATTGCCCCGAGTAGGTAGTTCTTTTCATGGGAGGGCCGCATTTCATCAGCCAAACTCTTTATTTATGGATCCTTTATGTTGCATCTTACTTTTCATCCCTGGGATCAAAGGTCTTGGAGTATACATTTTGTGCAGACACCCTATGTTTGCTCTAGAATTATTTTCTTTCCTAGTTATCTTTATTTATTTATTTATTTTTGAGACAAGGTCTCACTATGTAGTTGAGACTGACCTGGAACTCCCTATGTAGCCCAGGCTGGTCTCGAACTCACAACAATCCTCCTGCTTCAGCCTCCCAAGTGCTGGAATTACAGGTGTGTGCCACCACTCCCGGCTATTTTTTTCTTTTTTGGTGTTGGGGATTGAATTTGGGTCGTTATGCTTTTGAGGCAGGAGGCGGAACCACTGAGCTAAATCCCTGGCCCTTTCCTACTTATCTTTTGCACTTGGGAGGGTGGAGGATTGCCACAAGTTTGAGGCCAACCTGCCTATACAGACCCTGTTTCAAAATACAAAAATAAATAAATAAATAAATAAGCAGACAGACAAACCTCCCAAGTGCTGGGATTACAGATGTGTGCTACTATGCCTGGCTTCTATGTACTACTTTTTTTTTTTTTTTTTTTGTACTGGGGATCGAATTTAGGCCCTTGCACTTGCAAAGAAGGTGGCAGAACCACTCCCCAGCCCTATGTAGTACATTTTAAAATCTTGATTAAATGATTTTCTAGAAAAATACAAATGACCAAAATAATTCAAAAGGAAGAAAGCTCAGAAAGTAATAAGCCAGGCTGAGATCTGGCTAGTGTACACATTCCAGCTAGCATCCACAGCAAACTACATGGAGCTGAGTATGGTTGCACACCTGTAATCCCAGCACTTTGGAATGCTGAGGCTGGAGGATCACAAGTTTGAGCATAGCCTAAGCAACTTAGTGACTTAATGAAACCCTCTTTGGAAAATAAAAGGCTGGGCATGTAGTTCAATGTGAAGGATTTTGAATTCATTCTCCAGCGTCAGCCACAGAGGTTAGAGTTTTGCATAATTTTTTTTTCCTTTGGTTTTTTTTTTTTTTTTTTTTTTTTTTTTGAGACAGGGTCTCACTATGTAGTTGAGACTGACCTGGAACTCACTATGTAGCCCAGGCTGGTCTCGAACTCACAGCGATCCTTCTGCCTCAGCCTCCCGAGTGCTGGGATTGTAGGCCTGTGCCACCATGCCCAGCTGCATAATTTTTTAAAAAACTTTTTTGTTTTTGTCAAATTAGAAATATGTTTGTGGGCCGGGGGTGTAGCTCAGTGGTTCTGCTGCTTGCCTCACCAATGCAAGAACCCGAGTTTGATCCCTGGTACCAAAAAAAAAAAAAAGGAAGAAAAGAAAAGAAAGACATGTGTTTGTATGGCTTTTCTCCTTTCAGTGCTCTCCACCTTTTTTTTTTGGAGACAAGGTCCTGCTTGTAGCCCAGCTGGCTTCAAACCCGAAGCAGTCCTCCTGCCTCAGCCTCCTAAGCACTAATTACAGGCCTATGCCACCATGCCTGGCTCTTCACACTCTTTGACATGAATAAGATCTGTGCTTCTTAAAATACAAATACTTTCCTCTGTTTTGGGGATGAGTGAATTTTGGGGGGAGGGTTTTGAGACAGGGTCTCACTATATAGTTGAGACTGACCTGGAATTCACTGTGTAGCCCAGGCTGGTCTCAAACTCACAGCGATTCTCCTGCCTCAGCCTCCCCAGTGCTGGGATTACAGGCGTGCGCCACCACGCCCGGCAGGGGATAAGTGAATTTATAAAAGAAACAACTCCAATTCTTTTCCTTCTTTTTCCCCCCTCAGTACTGGGGATTGAACTCAAGGCTCTGCTCTACTACTCAGCTCTATCCCCAGCCCCATCCTCCCCCTTTTGTTTTGGTTACTAAATATTTTTTGTTTGTTTGTTTTGATTACTAAATATCAGTTTAATCCTCCAGAAGAGGGAGGAAGAGATCTATATTTCTCTAGTATTGAGCTTTGAAGTTACCAGAGACAATGTGGGTCTGTCATGTTTTTTGTCCCATAGAAGAAGGTTAAGTTTTCATTTTGCCACCTTGGGACTCAGAGGCTACAAAATGTAGAGGTGGGGCTTCTAGGAAGTCAAGGTACATTTATGGTTTTGCCCCTGGTTTTGTTTTACCCATCCCATTCTCCTGTTAGAGATTTTGTGACTCATTGGTTGCCCAGGGCCTGTGATGGTCTACACAACTTTTTTGCTCTAGGTTTGGTAGGGGCCCCCATCTTGCCAGAGCACCAGTGCTAAAAGGAAACAGCTACTCAGGAAGTCATAGTGACTGGGTGTTTTTACTATTGTGTCAGCATTTTTCTTCTTTCCTTTTGTTGTGGCAGCTCAGTGTTGGCATGGGCGCTGCTGTCTTCCCTAAGTGAGCAGGGAGACTGAGTGCCAGCAGGGCCAGTAACTGCCTGGGTTCTGAAGCCAACTTCTGAGTCTGGCATAGTCGAGAGATGGCAATTCAGATATTGTTTTCTCATTGTTCATCATGATGTGTACAGTGTTGTATACCTGAGATAGATACCTGAGTTTTAGACTAATCCTTCTCAAACTTGAACATGCATAGGAAGCTTCTGGGCTCCTTGGCAAGATGCAGATACTGATTCTGTAAGTCTGGGGAGGGACCTAAGATTCAAACATCCCAGATGATGCCCTTGTCGCTAGTTATGCACCTCACATTGAGAAGTAATGAGCTAGAGCTCATGAGGTTCCTGTGCTGTGTCATTGCATCCTGTAAATTACCTGGTAGTTTACACATGGTAGTTTCTCACATGTGAAATGGTACAAAGAAGCGAAGCAGTTGCCTCACAGGTTCACAGCAAATTGACATGAAGGCCGGTGCTAGGATTAGCTCCTTGCTTTTAGAACAACACCTACATACTTGTTTGGGAACCAGGTGCTGTGCTCCCATAGATGCTGTACTTCACTGACCAAGGAAGAACGTATTTCTCCAAACTAAGCTTCCCCGTAGGTGTAAGGTTTTGCAACCCTGAGTGGCAGCACCACTGCTGGGACGTTGGAAGGTGAGGGTTGGGGTTGGGCTGAAAAGGCTGCCCTGTCATTACCAGCTCCTCAACCTGCAGGGATCTTTGCTCTAGCCATTCTAAAAATTCTCTGAATAGTCATACATGGTTGCTATTGCATCTCCTTCCCCTGTCAATGCTCCAGAAGGGCTGAAAGAAGGTTAAGAGCCACTTTTCCAGGGCAGGAAATTATGGAGGTTGCAGAGCATTTGTTCTGAATCCTCAGAGGCAACGGCTCCTGCTAAGAAGAAGTCATGTGGGGGTGAGTCTGGACAGCCTTGTAGGAGCTCTTGGAGGTCTGTCTTCAGTCCCTTCTGTAAACATCCTGTTTCTTTTCTGCCCATTTAGGGAAAGGGACTGTTTGCCACACAACTGATCCGAAAGGGAGAGACCATCTTCATAGAAAGGCCCCTGGTGGCTGCACAATTTCTCTGGAATGCACTTTATCGCTACCGAGGTGAACACTCTCACCTATTGCTCATGGCTGCTGGGCCCTGCTACTTTTGTGCACGGAAGACAGCTGCATACATCTGTACTGACTGATGTCTCTGGGACTCTGGGTGTTGGGAGAAAATGCTCTCTTCTGCAGTACTGCCTGAGAATCACACCTCTGTCTACTCTCAGGCACTGGGGGCTGTGTGCCTGCAGTAACAGTTTCCTCTAATGTGCTCTTATGGGAGATGACTATCTCTCGCAGAGCTCAGAGCCCACATACTGAGTCTAACTGAGAAGCAGGGGGAGTCAGAAGGTGCCAGGGGTTTCTTGAGAGAAAGAGAGGTCATTTTCCTTTGGATGCATGTGAGATTCATTCCTTTGTTCATTTCATTCTTTGAAATAGTCATTCATTTACAGACTTGTATGGAGCACTGTCAGGCACTGTCCTAGTTGGAGGGCTAGAGGGGAAATACTACTTTGAAAGGAGAGATGAGGCTCTTGGGACACTTAAATTGTTGCGTGTGGCTCTCACCCTTAGCCTGTGATCACTGCCTCCGGGCCCTAGAGAAGGCAGAGGAGAATGCCCAAAGGCTGACTGGGAAACCAGCCCAGATTTTGCCTCACCCAGAGCTATGCACTGTGCGTAAGGACCTCCACCAGAACTGTCCCCACTGCCAGGTGAGCATCCCAGGGGGAGTGTACCTGAAAGGGGTCGGTGAGCAAGGCCTTAGTTGAAGTCCTCACTGGGGAGATAGGAACTCAGACAGACCTGGTCATAGCCCTCAAGAGCCATGACGTAGGGTGAAACATTGAAAGGACTCAGTAATTGTTCTGTCCTCCTTGTTCTAGTTCCATTGCCTAGGAAATGGGCTTGGTGGGAGCTTGCCTTTTTAGGGCCTGGCAGGGGCTCTCCTCTCTACCTGAAAAGTTGTCTTTTTCTGTGCTTTTACAAGTTTAGGTTAGGTGCCCACCCATATGCCCTTAGAGTACTGTATGTTTTCTCATCTTATAATTCCTCTGTGCTCCTACTCAGAGGCTGTTGGTGGAAGGAATGCAGTTAGGGGAGGCAAGTGCCTTATGGGATGTCTGTGCCTTGCTCTCTTCACCCCATGGCCAGATCCTAGGGCACTGACCTCTGCCCCACCTAACAGGTGATGTACTGCAGTGCAGAATGTCGGCTGGCAGCTGCAGAGCAATATCACCGAGTCCTGTGCCCAGGCCCCTCTCAGGATGACCCCCTGCATCCTCTCAATAAGCTGCAGGAGGCTTGGAGGTAGGTCTCTTCCTTTCTTTATCCTTCCCTCCTGTCCCACTTGCCTCTGCTTAGCATATGTTGCCAACTTCTCTGTTACCATTCTGCAGATATTTCCTGTATTCTTAGGGTTAAAAAAAGGCACATCACCCAACCCTCTGCCTTTAATCTGGGCTGCCAGTTCCACCATCCTCAGTGCTTTACCCCTTCCAGAAAGAGCCCATAGGGATGCAAAATCTACCTAAGTCCTGCCAAAGCCTTTCTCCTTTTGGTGGTTGATGAAAGTGGCAGGGTTTCTCTTTGGCAGTCAGACTGGGTTTCCCAGACCTCAGCTACTGGGGAGGGAATTTTAAGGCCAAACTTTTTTTTTCTTTTCCTAGGAGTATTCACTACCCACCTGAGACTGCAAGCATCATGCTCATGGCCCGAATGGTGGCCACAGTAAAGCAGGTAAGCCCACCTGAGGGTGACTGGCGCCCTCAGCCATCAGAGCCCTAGCTTGGATGCAGCATTATTCCTGGGCTTCCCAAAGAAGAAATGCTTGCTTTGTACAATCTTAGCTAAGCATAAGTCAAGTGTGGGAATTGGGGCTCATTTTGCAGGTAATCTTAGATTTATAGAAAGATGTCTCATGCAGCATTTGATTTGTGGGTACCACTTTTTAGGATTCTTTCTCTTACCTAGAGAAGCTACTCTAACCCTCTTCTGTTAATATTATGGTTCCTTGGCCTAGTTCTCTGTTCCCCAGGTGTTTTGAGTTGGCTCGTTCAGCTCCAGCTGGAGACATGGTTGGGTGTGGGCAGAATGGGGAAGAACACTCAGGCAGAGGCCCTGGAAGCTCACATGTGGTGGTTGTTCCCTGTTGGCAGGGGCTTTAGAAACAGGCCATCTGTTCCACTGGATGGTAATGCCACTAAGGAAATGGGTGTCTGTGATCCTTAAGTACATTTGTCCACTATAGGCTAAGGATAAGGACCGTTGGATCAGGCTCTTCTCCCAATTCTGTAACAAAACAGCTAATGAAGAGGAGGAAATTGTCCACAAACTCCTGGGGGACAAATTCAAGGTTAGTCTCCCATGACCTGTCTCCATCCCTCACCCTTCCCAGATAGCTTGAGATGACCCTGGCCACTTATGGGGAGCTCCACATTTCTTCTCTTCGCAGCTACAGAAGGGTTAGAACCTGGTCTCCAAAAATTGATCAGAGGTTTTACATTCCTGTCACTGTTTTACTTCATGATGTAATGTGGAACTAAAACTGGGACGTGAGGATTGGGGTGGTGACAGAGGAAGGGTTGGATGCCTGTCTGAGAAGCAAGACTCCTGTCAGCAGGTGGCAGCAGGCAAGTCAATTATAACAGAGAATGGAGGGCTGCAGGTCCCCAGAGTCAGCTACCAGAGTATCTGAGTGCTCAATCCCAGAGTACAGATTCTCACTGAGGACAGCAGATTTCTACATAGAGTTTCCTGAAGGCAGAGGTAGCTGTGGGAAGGGATGTATCTGAGGTGGGCCCCCCTGTACTGAATTCAACAGAAAAGAGGGAAGAGCTGAGTTGGTCAGGAGGCCCAAGAGAGATGGTGAGAACAGAAATCCTAAGCCAAGCTGCCTCATCCTCACTAGTACCAGTGCTAGAAAACAAGGAGAAAGTTTGGGTTCACTACTTTGCGTTGGAGGCCAGCAGACTGCCAAAGCTCTTTGGAGATAAGGACTCTGGGGCCTTGCTTTGACCCCATGAAAAGCTCGGTCTGCAGAGAAGGCCCTTTTTCCTTCTCTCACCTGATCTTCTGGACCCTACCTGGTTGCCAAGGGGAATTCCCCAGGGATGTGAATCTTTCCCTACTCCCCCTTCACCAGGGCCAACTAGAACTTCTGCGGAGACTCTTCACAGAGGCCCTTTATGAGGAAGCACTCAGCCAGGTGAGTGTGGGGAGGCTGGGGCCACCACCTTCTGATTACCCCATTCCCCAGGAGCAATTGGGTCTATATCTCCTGGGGCATCTAAGCCAAAGCTGGCTTGGTCTTCTGGAGTTGGGATGGGGCAGATGCTTAGAAGTCTTCCTGAACAGAGCCATACCAGAAAAAAAAGCAAACAATTGTAATCCAAGCACTCACCTTTTCTTTTTCTCTCCCACAGTGGTTCACTCCAGATGGATTCAGATCTCTCTTTGCTCTTGTTGGGACCAATGGCCAAGGAATTGGGACCAGGTTAGGAGACAATGTCCTAGAGATCTTAGATTGTCCCTCATGGTTCAATTGGGAGATTGACTGAGGAAGGTAGCCACAGCTTCTTTCAAGCTTGGGGTGGGGTAGGATGTGACTTTGGCCTGAGTGCTGAGCTGGACATGGTGGGAGGAGTCCAGTGGAGAGGAGTTTGCACCTGGGAGCTTTGCTATATTGGGGAACATGGGGCCCCCAACCTGGAGAAAGAAATGGGGTGGGAGCCCCTTCTGCCTGGGCTTAACTTGCCCTGTGACTTGGGCTTTCTCTCCAATCATGGGCTGCCTGGGAACTCCAGCTCCCTGAGCCAGTGGGTCCATGCCTGTGATGCTCTAGAGCTGAAGCCTCAGGACCGCGAGCAACTAGACGCCTTCATTGACCAGCTGTACAAGGACATCGAGGCAGGTTGGTGAGATGGGGCCATGGCCTTGCCCAACTTTGTGGTCCCCCTCTCCCAGTCAGATGGTGGATATAGTTACTCCCAGGAAGCGCTGAGTTAATGGTGGGGAAAGTAATCCTATGTGTACTTGTACTTGTGGGCAGCTGCAGATCTGTCCACAGGACACACACATGGTTGAGAAATGGCCCAGAGATCCACCCAGAGGCTTGATGCTGGGAGGAGGGGGAGTGCCGGACAAATAGGGTGAAATTGCAGACAGAAGAGCAAGCTTGTGCTTCAGAGAGGCAAGTTTAGGTAAAGTGGTGGGGCCTGGGTATGTTAGTGTGGTGGGATGGCAGGAGAGTGGAGCTGGTGCCTTTCCTTGTCAGCCTAGTTTCCTTGTACCTATAAAACGGGTAGAACAGTGTCCGCATATTACTATCTTACAGCTACCGGCGAGTTCCTTAATTGTGAAGGATCTGGCCTCTTTGTGCTTCAGAGCTGCTGTGAGTCATGACATTGGGTTGGGAGGGTAGGGACTGGGCCCTTGCTGGTAGCTTGATAGCCATAGTTCATTTTTCTCAGATGGCCCTTTTAGGCTGTCTAGATTGAGGCTGGGAGTGGGATTATTCCTGAGCTTCTTTGGTGATTCCCTTAGGGCTTTTTGCTTTGGGTTTCTCCATTTATTTATTCAGTTGCTTGTGCTGTGCTGTGTGTGTGTGTGTGTGTGTGTGTGTGTGTGGTGTTAGGTAACCCAGAGCCAAACATGCTATGTAAGTGGTCTGCCACTGAGCTATATCCCCAGTCACCTTCTCATATTTGAATGCTTATGTATGAAACCTTGTAGTGTGCCAGGCCCTGTCTAAGGCAGACACAAAGACTGGCTTCTTGCAGTTTGGGTTTGCTCCATCACTGCCTAGGTGTGTGTTAGGGGAGCACTAGGAATATTCAGGAGGCCTGCAGGGTGCTGGGGAGAGGGAGCACAGGGGAGGCCCATCTCAACACCTGACAGGGAAGGCCAGGGCCAGCTCCAACAACTGCCTTTCCTAGGTCTTGGCCACCTGCTCTTGGTTTTCCACTGCATGTCTCTCCTGCCAGGCTCCAGAGAGGGTTCTCAGAAGGCCTGAGTTAGCCATTACCTTATGTCCAGTAGCAGACAGAACCGAATTAAATAGTCTAGTATGGGCATCCTTTCAGAATCCTGTCCTCTCTTTTTTTGTTTTTTTTTTTTTTGTTTTGGTCTCGGAATCGAACTTGGGACCTTGTGCTTGCGGTGGAACCACTGAGCTAAATCCCCAGCCTTCTTATCCTCTCTTAATGAGACAGTGAGAACATAACTGAGAATGAATGGCCAGTCTCAGGAGGTTGGAGTGGGCAATGATGTGCCAGTGCATTTGTGCCTGTGTGCTGTGGTATCTGGGAAAGCGCACTGGATGGGGAGGCAGGAAACTTGGGGTCTGGTACCCACTCAGCCCTGCCAGGGCTCTTGAGAACAAGAAGTGAAGGGTCTTAGTGCTCTGCCAAGCTGAGATTTTTTTTTTTTTTTTTTTTTTTTAGTTAATAATACTCATTACCTGCCTCTTGTGACTCAGGCAACCACAGCTGTGTCCCCAATGCAGAGACTGCTTTCCCAGAAAATAACTTCCTTTTGCATGTCACCGCTCTGGAGGATATTAACCCAGGAGAGGTGAGGAGGACGAGGGCTGCAGGGGTTTGGGTGGACAGTGAGCCTGGCAAATTCTGTCCAAAGATTAGGAGCAGTAGTGACTAGATCTTCCTAAAGGTCAGGCTCTTGGAGACTTCTTACATGCCTCAGGGCCTGAGTCTTTTGCCCAGTCTCACCCAGCTTCAAAAAATAACTCCAGAGAGCCTCAGAGCAGTGTTTGAAGGTCAGCTGTGTGCCTAGGTTCCTGTGTCTAGCTACATTTTTATTTTTATTTTTTTATTTATTTTTTGGTACTGGGGATCAAACTCGGGACCTTGCCCTTGTGAGGCAGGCGGTGGCAGCACTGAGCTAAAACCCTGGCCTCACAGCTACCTTTTAATCAACAGATTTACAGCTTCTAAAAAAGTGGGAGGTAGTTCTTTGTGGCTTAGTCTGGGAAGCTGGTATGGGTTTGGGTGTCCTGGCTATGAGTGCAGTGCATAGGACAAGTAGAATCACACCAAGATAACCTCTGAGTCGAGCTACAGACCCTGGCCACTGACTGGCTTTCACTATGGCCCCAGGCCTGGGCTACTTGCAGTCTCCCCCTCTGTCTCTGACACTGGTTATTGAAACCTCATAGTACCTGCCTGCTGAAGGCATCGGAAATGAATTGGGGTAGACTGCCCCTCACTGAAGGGCAGCTCAGGCCTGGCTCCTGGGGATGGGACAGTAGTGTTGTTGGGGAAGCCCTTATCCTCCTAATGGAAGGTACACCATTTATCTAATCTAATTAATCTGTGTAATCCAGTCTATCCTAATATGAGACCCCACCTCTCCTCTGCCCTACAGGAAATCTGTATCAGCTACTTAGATTGCTGTCAACGGGAGCGCAGCCGCCACAGCCGCCATAAGATCCTTAGGTGCCAGCTGGGGATATGGTTGGGCAGCTGGGCTTGGGGGTCCTCCATTCTGTGGCTACCTGACTTTTCACCCTCATCATCCTCCACACCTGCAGGGAGAACTATCTGTTTGTCTGTTCCTGCCCCAAATGCCTGGCAGAGGCTGATGAACCCAATGTGACCTCAGAGGAGGAGGAGGAGGAAGAAGAGGAGGAAGAGGAAGAAGAGCCAGAAGATGCAGAGTTAGGGGATGAGATGACTGATGTGTGATGTTGCCCTGCCTGAAAGGGGCCCTGCTCCAGATCCTGCTAGAAAAGGGGGCCCTCCCCCCCAGAAAAGAGGCTTGGAAGGAACTCCCCACTCCCATTGCCTGCTTTCCTCCTTCCAGTACTCTGCCAGAGCGTAGGACAGGGGCTGCATCCTAGGCCCCACATCTCCCACAGACCTCATGCCCTGAGCACTGCTGCTGAGTTGGCTCGGACTCTGTGCCATCACTGAGCCTTCCAGAACTGGCCTCCCTTGACTTTACTCCACTGTAAATGTGAGGGGTTGGAACCAGGGTGTGGGCCTAACAGTGTTTCTTAGTCCACACTCACCTGTCCACTGGCAGCTTCTCCCCTCTCAACTGATTATTGGTTTGAGGGGTCGCAAAGTGACATATCTGAAGTGGAAAGGGGAGGTGTGGCACTTTGTCTTCCTTACCTCACACCTGCCATGACTATAGCTGTTAGGGTGACAGCCTGCCCATAAACCAGAGGGAAGAGGAAGTAGGGTCTGAACCTCTGGAGCACCTTCTCTAAGACTGGCTACCAGAAGACACTAGATTATGGAGATTTCCCTCATTCCCCCCACTTCCACTGTTTGGACATCAGGGGAAGTGGGTATTAGCCCCTTCCCTAGACTCCAGAATCTGTACCTCTACCTTATCTCCCAGACCTTGGCACAGTGGGTAGCTGGCGTCATAGGGTATGAATGGGGCCTCTGCCTTCCTCAAAAGGAGATCATTGCCCTTTATTACACCTTCTTCCCACTGAGGGTTCTAGCAATCTGGCTGAGACCTGTGGGATGACAGGCCTTTGTGCCTTATTTTAGGATGCTTGAATTTTCCCAGGGCCTGTTAAAATGAACCAATGAAAGGCTCTCCTGGCCTCAATCTCCATCTTTAAGAGTTTCACGGGGAACATTGAAGTCTTCCAGAAACGTACAGGTGCTGGGCTAGATACTTGGTGGGTAGCCATGACTGTCCTTTCCTTACCCTAGAGGATCATCTTACTCTTGGGTTGGATGCTATGGGTATTACAAGCATCACTCCCAATTCATTCCTGCCTACCTTCCTTGAAGGGCTCGCCACATCACCTTTCTGAGAGATCCCAGGGAAGACAGGTGCACCCTTCAGGCCCTCCCCTGGGCTGTGCAGCCAGGTAGAACCTGGCCATCTGGCTCCCTCACAGCACCCCTCTCCTGCCCCACCTGCCCACTTCAATAAAATATGAGTGGTGACGGGTCTTTCTTTGTAAGATTGTCTTGTGGAGAATGGCTGGACAGGGCTCTCAGCAGACAGAGGTACACAAGTTAGACCAGGTGACAGTGGCAGATAAGAGGTACAGTCTTCCCAGCTATGCTCATCTCGTCTCAGCCACACTGCTGTGACAATATTTCTAAAGTCAGAATAAATGTCCTCCAAAGGCTGGTTTTCATCAACACTAGTTTACAAGATGATTCTTCTCCTTAAGGGGCTGAACTACAGCTATCTGGAGCTTCCTGTGCATTGGTCCTAAAGGATCTAGGGAAAGTGTCTTCACTGGACCTCAACTGTCTTCCCTCAAAATGATTTGGGACCAGAGGAATTAAGTGTGGATATCCCACCCCCTGTGTTTTAGGAGACAGAACCCTGATGAGCTTTATTGCTAAAAAATCAGAGTTTATTGAGTCCCCAGACACCAATTCTTTAAACCTCTCCAGTAATTCCTGTGAAGGTCACTGTGAGGAGACTGTGGGTTGGGGAGCTTGAATCAGGTGGAATGTCACAGGTGGCCTCCTTCTAGCTCGTTTTGTTCTAGATTCCTGCCAGAAGCCCTGGAGCCTGGCTCTTTCCTGTTCCTGTAGCCCAAGATGTCCTTGGGCGCCTTGGTGAAGGGAGAGCCTGTGATGTGAGCTTTCTTCCCTCTGCTTGGCTCCCCTTGTCTACAGATTTTTCTCCCCAGATTCTAAATAGTAGAATGCCTGGGTTTCCCCTTCCAAGCCCAGGGTCACTTAAGGCTGGAATGTTGGACCAGTTCTACCAGAAGGTCCAGGGTGGTTGTAGCAGCTCAAATGTGGGGATGCTGGTGACGTTGACTGGGATGGAAATGATGGCCCATGGCAGCCCATGCTGTTCCAGGGAGCGACGGATCATGTAGCTGGTAGGGCATGAAAAGAGGTGATGATCACTTTCTTAGCACCCCAACCTGCCCCTCTGTTTCCCCTTGGAGTTACAGAACCGGAGGATTTTTTGCTTTCCAACAAGGGTACCCCAAGACAAAAGTCTGTGGGATGGGACTGATGATACCCATTACCTCCCAATCATGACATCCCATTTGGTGCTGACAGGCCAGAGACAAGGAGGCCTCACCCATCTCTGCCCAGCAGGAAGAGGGCAGGAATGTCAGCTGTGCGCTGGGTACTGTCCTGGATCATTTCCACATAGAAGCTGTCATTGTCAACTGCATTGTCAGAGATGATCACGGCCCGCCCACCATGCTCCTGTACCACTCGGGTCTTGGAGAGGAAGGAGCAGCCCCTGGAAGAGGTGGTGATGAGACCAAAGGAAAATCAGGTCCTAGCTACCCCTTCCCCACCCCATAACCCTAAGAGGATGAAAGGAGGACCATGAAAAACTTGTTAAAAGGTTCCTAAGTACATAGCCAAAAGCATGGATAATCTTATGGCATTTAAAGATCCTTAAAAGGATGATTATTCAAAAGCAGCTGTTTTGAAGAACCACCACTAGCCATGGTCTCAGAATTTGCCATATGCCTGCCCACTCCTTACCCTCTCTCCACCAGAGCAATTTGGTCTTGAATGAAGAAACCGTTGCTGAGTTCCCCACAGGCCTCTGGAGGTTCAGCAGGGACAAGGTGAATCTGTTCATACCTTGTATGCTGAAAAATGTTTATAGACATTTGGACAAGTGAGACGTGCTTTGAGAACGGGCTGACAATCTCATCTTATTGGCATTGTATCATGAAGGGTGGAGGAAATGAGTGGTTTCTGTGTTGCTGGGCACTTGAGCATTTTCACTTAATTCTCACAAAGGCCTATGTGGTTGTTTAAGTTCATGCTGCATTCTATGAGATAGGGGAGGTGGTTATAGACATAGGGAGGGGAAGTAGGTACCCAGAGGTAGAGCTGACAGAGAAAGCTGGTGCCCTGTTATTTGAGACAGGGTCTCTGTGTAATCCAGGCTGGTTTTGAACTCACTAGCCCAAACTGGCCTTGAATTCACAGTAATCCTCTTGCCTCAGGCTCCCACTTGCTGGGACTACAGCCTTGTGCCAAGTGCCCCCAAAGAAGAAAGCTTGTCCCTCCACGGTGCCCAGGTCTAAGTATGAGTCAGCATTTTCTTTCTGTATTGCCACTCCTGAGAGACAGGTGGGTTCTGCTCCTTTCCCTGGCTCAGCATTCATAAGGAAGAAGAGGGTTACCATAACTCAGTGAAGGAAAGGGGGAGGCTGAGGATCAGAGATGAAAGGTATTGCTGAACTTACAAAGATACCACCGAAGTCCTTGGCAGGTGTGGCTGTGAAGATGTATCGAATGTCCCCAGGACTCAGTACTTGGAAGTATAAATAATCATGGATGCGTAAGCCTGAAGGAAAAAGTACACATGAAAAGCTCTCAGGTACAAGGTGGTTTGAGTTCAAATAGTGAGCTCCATGTCTTCAACTTCTCTGGCTATAGACTGGGTCTAGGGTCCCAATTTCAGCTGATTGAGTTACCTGGGTGGGCAAGATAGTTTTTCCCCTGGGCAGGCTAGCTGATATGGATGGAGTTAATAACCTCAGATTTATATCTGCTGCTGCTGCTTCTGACACAGGTAAACCAAGAAAACTGGGACCTCTAATCTGTCTTTGCTCTTAAGTACACCTGGGAATTTCGGGGTGGAGGTATAGTGCTCCAGGCAGAAGATTCTCACTGAAACTTAGAAATTTACTCTGGTCCACTGCCATTTCCCTAGCCCAGTCACTATCATTTCGTGTCCTGATCATTCCAGCTTCTTTTATTTTTAATTTGTTTTTCATTCCAGCTTCTTAACTGGTCTGTCTGCCTTTATTTTCTTTTTCTTTTTCGCCTTGCTGTGTTGCCCAGGATAGTTTCCAACTCATGAGTTTAAGCAATCCTCCTGCCTCAGCTCCCACGTGCCTCCATTCTTGCTCCCTCAGGTCCATCTCCTAAACAGAAACCAAGCATCGTAAGACATCTTAGTAATTATACCCTTCACTGATTTCCTTCATAAAGTCTACATTCTTCACTGTGGCCTACAACGGCCTGCTTGATCTGACCCCTGGCCATTACAATCCCATCACCCTCTTGTGTTCAAACTACACTTGCCTCTTTTCAGTTTGTTAATTTTGTATCTTTTTGCAAGCTGTTACCTCTACTTGGAAGGGTCCCTACTCACACCCAACCTCCACTATTTGTGGTGCTAAGCACCTTACCACTGAGCTACATTCCTGCCCCCCCCACCCCTTTTCAAAAAATGGGTGAGACAAGGTTTCACTTTGTTGCCCAAGCTGGCCTCAAACTTGTAATCTGCCTTCCTCTGCCTCCCAAATACATGAGATTACAGGCCTATGCCACCAAGCCCAGCTCCACCTTCACTTTATTTGGCTCATTCCTAGTCCTCCTTCAGGTCATAGATTAAATGTCATTTTCTCGGAGGAAGATATGTATCATGATTGCCCATTATTTTGGCCATTCAAAAATGTACATTTTGGGCTGGGGATTTGGCTCAGTGGTTCTGCTGCCCGCCTCACAAGCACAAGGGCACAAGTTCAATACCTGGTACCAAAAGAAAAGATAGAGCTAGTCTCAAAAATGTATGTTTTGGGCCAGGAATTTAGCTCAGTGGTTCCACCGCCTAACTTGTAAACTCAAGGTCCCAAGTTTGATCCCCGGTACCAAAAAATAAATAAATAAAAATGTATGTTTTCCCAGTTAATATTTTCAACATAATTTGTAAATGTACAGTATCCATAATTCTTAATATCTGACTGTCCAATAGGGCAATAATTATAAATTTATATAAATTTTATTCAATGCTGAATCCCCAATGCCTATGATAGTGGCTGGGATATAGTGGGGGTGTTCAGGAAAGGTTACTGAGTGAAAGAACAAACTACATCATGCTGCACTGCCATTAGCAAGAGAACTGTCAGAACCACCAAAATTGGGGAGGGGGGTACAGGAATTTCTTTGCAGCATCAAAGTTTAATGTTTTACCTGGACTTGAGTCCCTAGGTTCTTTAGTCCTAAGAGTGATGAGTGCTCAAAGAAGCTGTGGCCACAGGTCCACTAATAAATCAGACTAACAACCTATCCATGTGAGCCAGCTGTCCTTGCCCAAGTCAGCCACCAGACAGAGCTCCTAGGGGTTGGCCCTGGGCTATGTAGCCTTTCCTCCTGGGAATCAGATTCAGATGCACTCCCCAGGAAGCCTTACCTAATTGATGTTAGACAACTCTCCTCCCCACTTGCACCTTTGCTTGGCCTTTGCATATCCTTATCTGTGTGTAAATTATAGGTATATATGTATATGCTCACATATGTGTGGGTGTATATGCTCATGTGCTTGTGAAGGCTCACGCGGATTGTGTACATAGGTGCTTCTGCGTGTGAGCCCACGTGTAGGAACGCGTGCAGTATATGCATGCGAAAGCTTACGTATGTGTCTCCAGCTTGTTTGTATCTCCAGCTGCCCCTTGTGCCTCCTTTTCGTTTCACTTATATCACCTGGGTTGGTTTTGGTTGAGGGGGGTTGGTGGGACCTGCTTCGACCTGGGGAGCTGAAGACTCAGAACCTAGGTTCAGGATACACCCAGTTCAATGTCCCTATGGACCAGCACCCATTCACTCTGGCCGGCCGGTCCCAGACCTGCTCGGCTCCGAACTCGCGGGGTCCCCAAGGTGACCCGTGGCCCCTGCCCCAAGACGTGCGCAACCTGGACGGCGAGCCCCGCCCCACAGCACAGCATAGCACAGCACAGCCCCGCCCGTTGCCGCTCACCGTGGGCTGCGACGCATGCGGGCAGCCAGAGCACCAGACA